AGGGTGCAGGGGAGAGCAAAGGGCCCCCAGCGGAGAGCTGCCCGCCCGGGCGGAGGACAACCGCGCCGGGCGAGGGGGCTGCCCGTGCTCCCAGCCCTTTCTCTTCCTCGGCTGCCACCCCCACCACGTTAGACCGGGCAGTTCTGACCCGCCGCCTCAATGTTCGTTTTAACAAGCCACCATAGTTGCTTCCCTTTTCCTTAGCTGTGTTGCCCGCCCTCACACCTCCCTGGGCACGCAGAAGAGAGCCTCGGATCTTGCACGCTGGCCTCCTGGCACCTGGCTGTGGCTCGGTGCAGGATGCTAGTGTGTCTAGAGCTCTCATGAGCTGTGGACATTAAAAGATTTCAAGGACATTTCCCCCCATTCATCCCAGTTATGTCCCCTGCTAAAATAGGTTAACGGTGTCTAATTAACCACTGCACATTGTCATGCTGCATAAAGATAGCACCCTGACTGTTCTCTGAGCCCTGCTACTTTATCTCCATTTAGATCTCCGTGGTAGTCCATTAAATGAGAAAGAAACAGTTTAACAGGGATGATGTCTACATTAGAACTGCCTTTCACCCTTCAGCACAGAAGTTGCAGGCAGCTCCGAGGCAGCTCAGCTGTACATTAGGGGTGTGGGGGGAGGGAAGCCTCGGTTTTGAGGTTTAACCCCCTCTCATTGATGTGGAGGGAGGATTTCTGCTGGCCAGAACTGAGCAAAGACAACACTCAAGAGCAAGATCAGATCTGTATCCTCTGCCTCAGGACACAGCTAGGAGAGAAACAGGTATTCTGTACTAGGAGTTACATAACATGGGGTTACATGGGGTCTGTCGGGCTCTTCTGCCCAGCCTCTCAGCTATTCAACACCCTGAAATAGAGAGGGGGTCAGCAGCTGGCCAAAGCCAGAAGGAATATGCCGGGGTTTTGGTTATGTTTGGGAGCACAGACAGCCTTGCAGTGAAAGGGAGTTTAAACAGAGCTGTCCAGGTGGTGGGGTCGGTCCATGTTCTTTGGCCCTCCAGATGCAATGGACTTATCAGAAGAAATGAAAGAAACAGAGGTATCGCTGTCTCACAAAAGGTGGGGGTGGCTGGTGTATAATACAGCAAACTGAATGCATTTCCGAGCGCTGCTCCCAGGATTGTATTGTTTTGTTTGCCCTTACTTGAGTGGGTGTATCTGTAGTTCATACACAATTGCTCATTTTGTAGGTGCTTGTTGCTACCCTCCCTGGGTTGTGCCTCCTGCTCCTGCTGGAGCAAACAAACCAGGGCAGTGCACTTCTTGTTGCTGAGAACATGAGAAAAGAGTAGGAAATCTGTCTATGCTGACTTGAGTTTTCAGTCTGGTTTCTTCCATGTCTGCTTTCATTCACCACTAGAAAGCTGTGCCCATGTGGTGAATGAAGAGGATGCTGTGTACCCAGGCCTGATATTCCTGAAGGATGAAATGTTGTTCTCAACATGTTGCAATTGGCATTGATAAGCTGAGCCAGTTCTCAGGAAGGGGTACTCCACGATGCTTAAAGCAGTGTGATAACTTCATGAAGAATGCCTGCGGGGCTTCCCATAGCACCTGGAGAGCAAAGAGACAAGTAGGTGACTGGTTCTGCAGGAACGGTATCTCCATGTATAGCTTAGCCCTCCGCTAAGCTTATGGAATGGACAGGGTTGGAGGTAGGGCACCTTTTGAGGATCTATTAATGACTTCCCTTACTGCCTTGAAGGGTTTTTTAACCTTAGGACACAAGGCAAAGCTTTTCTTTTCACTCGAGGTCACTTTGTTAGGTAGATTTAGGTAATGCAATTGGGCTGAAAAAGCAAAAGGTTAGTCAGGAACAAACCAAAAATATTTTCTGAATTTTTTTTTCCAGTCTGAAACAAGGAATGAAAAAGTAATTTGGCATCAAACAAGATGAAAGGAAGCCTTATAAAAAAGGAAACAGTAGGCTGGTTGGTGTCTTCTTTGCCTAATAGCTCAATCATTAAGGTCACAGAAAGTGTAAAACATGCAATTCCTTGCTGTGCTCCAGAAGTTTCATACTATATTTCCAGGATAGTTGTCTACCTGTGAGCTTATCGGCTGGTTTGAAATGCCAGTTTCATCAAAATAGTGCTATTCCAAATCATATATTAACAAACGTATCTAGTACAGGTGACTGGAAGCAGATGTCTCACCTGAACAGAACAACAGTCATTTCTAGCTCCTGCTCTAGTGCCGTTGATATTTAAATGCTCTGTATAAACCACAGTACTGTCAGCATGAGAGACTGGCATCACCCACTGCCACCTTTGGACCCTGTGGCATAGGGACTAGGGTGTTCTCCTGGGATGGCTGACGGTGGGGCTTTAGTTTGCCCTAGAGAGAGGAGGGAAGTGTCTTGTTTGACAGGAGTGTCTAACACCTGGGCTTAAAGGGGCCAGTACTATTCTCCCCTCCCGGTTTATGAATTTTTTCCCCAAATTACTATTTTTTCCATTATAGTGCAGCTATTTCATAACAAAGTATTTGCTATTGCCCTGACTAAGTCCTTTCCTAACATAACAAGGAAAAGTTGAGAAAGCTTTAAATCTCAGAACACGAGTGAAGTAGTCTCTGCCTCTAGGACTAACATATGACTGCCTTCCCTGTGGGCCACCTGGATATCTGTCCTGACAGGGAGCTCAGGAAAAAGAAACAGAAATTGCTTATAGTGATAGCAGGAGTGACCCTCTCCTGGGAAGTATAAACATGTGGAGTGTTTCACTCCTGCCTGGGGACAGGAGATGAGCAAAGATGTAAGGAGTGTGAGTACTGAGGAATAGAGTGTTATTTGGGGCTGGACAATTATCAAGAGTAACAGGATCATGCTAAGAAAAGGTTAGATTGAACCCCCAGGAAATCATCTCACTGTGCAAGGCTGTGCAAAGCCATCATTTGGGATGTTTCAGCTCAGTGAGGGCAAGGCTCTGAAGACAGGGTGTGGGAAGCAGTTCTGTGAAGGCAAAAGGGAGGAATAAAATAGGATAAATCTTGCATCATCTTTCCATCTCTGTCTTCTCAGATTCTAAACTCCAGTGAGAGCTGGTAGTGGGCTCTCTGAAGCCATCCCTTTCTTTCTCTGTAGTATCAGGGGGTTCACAAAAAGTGCTTTGCACTGCCACTGGGGAGAAGGATGGAGCTGGACAACTACTTCTCACTGGAAGAGCTCTTTCCTAAATTCCCCAGCTCTATTGCACTTCTGCCTCTTCTGATGAACAGAAGGGTGTAGATATAGCTGAAAGCCCAGATACCGATGTCACCTACACGGCTGCAGTTCTGATTATAGCAGTGGATATTACTGGGCTCAGATCACCGATTCAGTGTAATCTTTAGCTTCTCACAGACTGCAAGCCCCAGGGAGAGCAGTTGGAGACAAGGGTCTTTCTTCTCCTCATAGCTAGACATCCTCTGTGCCCTGCCTCTTGCTCTTAAAGAGTAGATTATTCACAGGAGAGCTACATGAGAGCCCTAACCTGCTAGAACAGAGAGCGGATGAGGAGATGCCTGTCCCATCTCATGGAAGTGCTTTGAAAGGAGCAGTGCAAGGCAGTGAAGCAACTTGTCTTACATCTTGGTGTGTCCTGGGACAGTTCATGTGGTAGGGGAGAGACCCATGTATTTTTTGTTATGGCACCCTGACTTCAAGGGAGGGGAGAATATTTATTCCCAATGCATAGAGATGAAACTTCACTCTGCAAAATGGCCAAAGTAATCAGCGAGTGATGGAGTATCTGCTAAAAAGAAACCTGGCATTTAATTAACTTTTCAAAGTGCTGGTTCAGCAACCTCCATGTTTTACATTTTGAATATTGAACAAGCATCCCTAATCGGGACTGAATTACTTCTGGGCTTGCTGGGGTGGAGAGCAAGAGAGCTGCCATTTGCCAGTGCCTCCCCCCCACGTTATTATTATGAACTCCTGTTAACTCAGCCAGATCAACCCTGATTTACTGCAGCGACAGCATGTCTGACCTGAACTTGGCCAGCTCAGGTGGGGCTCCTATCCTACAAAGGCAACCAGATAATCTTTATGCATGACTAGGGGGAGGAAGGACCTGTTGATCTCTCAGGGGTAGGTAGATGAAGTATAGCATCATCTTCACTCCATAATGTGCCAACCTCTCTGCTCGGGTAAGGCAAGCTTTACCTGCAGCTGATGGCAGAGGGTATGAAAAAGTAGCTGAGAAGCTAAAAAAACAGGCAGTGTGGCTCTCGCTGTATCTGGGCATGGCTATCTTTTCGGACCCAAATCATTCTGCTTCAATCTGATGCACTCAGGGACTTTTTGATACACTGGTTTAATGGTCACTCAGAACTCTTTAAAGGTGCGATATGTTATATCGGACCTGGTGTGGGAACTGTTTTGCACAATAACAGTGATATAGAGAAAGGTGCATTTTTTGAATTTTCTCTAGCCTTTTCTAAGCATGAGCCTTTTCTTGTCTTGCAGGTCAGGAAGAAAGCATGCAGAAGAAGTAGAAGAGTAAGTTCCCATTGTTGCTGAGACTTCTTCCACAACTTTTACATCTGATCTCATGGAGAAGGGACATGTGACTCTAAGCACCAGTACACCAAGATCTGGAACTTGGGAAGGGTGTAGAGCCTGGCATGTATTCATGTCATGTGTCCTGGGATGGGGCAGGGCTGGTCACTCTGTAGTTCCCTGGATATGGAGTAGGTAGTATCTCTGTCACTCCCGTATGACAGAAAGAAGGAAAAGTAGAAAGCATCCGCTTTCCTCCCAGACGCACCCCAGGCCCTACTGTCTGCAGCCTAGGGGTTTGTCTCAGGTACAAGGCATTTTGTTTAAGCACTCTAAGCTGAGATTTCTGCCAAGTCCAGCAATGAGGGGTATGGAAGAAGGTCAGCCTGCAGGCTAAGTGTACCTGGGAACTCTCCCCTTGACAGGCCATGAGCCTTGTGGGGAGGAAGGGGACACAACAAGATGCTTTTCTGGGCTTGCAGTTGAAATTCGTTCTTCCTTGTGTTTTGCTGCAGCCATCGTCTCAGACAGCAGAGCCTGGAGGCATCAGATGATGGAGGAGGTAAGGTATCACCTACTTGACTGCAAGAAGTGCTTTCATGCATGTCTGGGGGTTCTCCAGTAAAGTGAGCAGAGGCATCTTGTAAGAATTTGCAAGGAAATGAACCACCTGGGGATAAACAAATGCAAGAGCTGCTTATGCCTCCCCAACTGCTGAATGAGGGAGGGAGAGCAAAGGAGATGGAGAGGAGGGTGAGGAAGTGAACCTGTAATCTAACTCTGGCTCTTCATTAACACAGAATGATGAAGCACCTTTGGGGAGAAGGAGAGTGTTGAGGACACGCTTTTCTCTGTGATTACCTCCACATGGAGAATAGTGGACTGGGGCAAAAAGACAGCTAAAAGAGCAATAAAAGGTTAAGAGCGGGGAAAGAAATCATTGATGTCCCCTAGTTTAGGTGATAGTATGCTCTACTTAAAGCCTCTCTCATGTTTTATGGTAACATCCTTGTCTCGTTCCCATCAGGACAAGTGCCTGCACCACTCTCCTGGGGTCTCTGTTGTGAGGGAATTCTTAATTTAAAAAATCCGCTTGCCCTAACCCAAGATCATAGATCATAAGCTAAACATGGCACTGGTGGGTAATCCCATCCCTGTACAGCCTGCTGTGAAATGTACTGGACTCCTGGCTTAACACTAGTTTTCTTTATAGTGTGTATCATTTGCTCTTCTAGGACTGGATGAGCAAAGAGAAATCTCAGGAAAAATCCACAGTATGAATTTCAAGATGAGAACTGTGGGGACCATAGAAATTCATTAAAGTCTCTAGGAGCTACCTCAGTTTTCAAGGGCTAAGAATTTTATACAGTGTATAAAAAGTTGCATCTGTTAAATAGCACCAAGCATCAAAAGAATTACCAGGAGTCACAAAGGATCAGACATCAGTACGGTTAATGAGATTAAATTAAGACTTATTTGGGTTTTCCAGACAGATTAAGCATTGCAACAAATGACTGCCAGAAGTGGCACCTTTATAGCATTGGCATCTTCAGAATAGACTTAATTTTCCCCCTGGGAAGTTTCTTGGGCTTCTTAAATTTCAGCGTTTGTCACTGAGGCTGATAGTCTGTTCTGAACAGCTCTTTGACTGTTTGCATACATGCTGTCCTTCTTGTTGAACCTTGGTCTTGTATTCAGAGTATAATAACTGTCTTTGCTAACCAGGCATAAAAATGCTTGCCACATGTTTGCAGCATGTGACTTTTAGTCCTCCAAGGCCTCGGGCAATAAATACAGAATAGAATTGATGCAGAATGTGGTATGAAGACATGGCAAGTCCTAATACACTTCACTTATTTATTTGTGCCTAACCTATGATTAACAATTGAATTTGGATTGTTTGCAAACCAGAGTTCACCTTTGGATTAAATCTATGTGTTAGGAGAAAGATCCCACTAATTTGATTATGGTTCCTACCCAGGCAGTTTCTGGTACAGTCAAATACATTGGGTTGTGGCTCTAATTTGCATATGGAAAATCTCTAAATGGATCAGTGCATTGCATGCTTGTGGTCCTATTTCTACAGGGAGATTAAGCAAGCTATTCTGGGAGAGGAGTTTTACATGTGGGCTCAGCAATTACAGTGAAGAAAAGTGACATATAAACAGACACCAGAACCTGAATAAAATTACTTTCTTGAATGAGCAGAGAGATACAAATAACTGCCCAGTGTAGAAGGCAGGGAGCACCATGCTGTGGCTGTGCAGTAAGTTGAGCTGTATCAGCCTCCCCTTCGCACAGAACTGCACTTGGGCTCGTGTCTTTAACTGTAACAGTAAAGCTCAGATTCTAAACATACAAAAATCAAGACATTGGTGTATGGATCCCCAAGGATGGGTCACGGTTATTTTGTGCTGCATAATGTGTTAGCTTGTACACCTTAATATGAACAGGCGCAGTTGTGTAATGATTGCTGCTGTCAACCAATACATTTGGATCGCCTTCCTTTAACCTATCAGAAAGCTGAGCTGTACCATTCCATTAACATTGTTTGTCCCCCATCCAACCTTTTCATTAGAAGAATGAAGGACAAAGCTATATGCCCTTAAAAAGGTATTCTTGTGTATTTGGAATGTGCTCAGTTGTGATCATTTATATAGCACTAACACCCGGAGGCTCAGAATTTGGAGTCCATTGGAGAAAGTGTTAAAAAAGCATAGGGCCTGGAGAGAGCCCAGTTTGGCATGTGGAGAATGGAAGGAAGGTTGTACAGCCAAGTGGAGACTTTTGGGCTTGTTATGCCTTGTAGTTTCAGAAATAAAAGTAGAATTCTCTCACTGCTCCTGGCCATTCACCCTGTGCATGAAATAATAGCATCTGATTTCCTCATCTCCATGGGAGTTTGGGAGAGAAGGACAGTCGCTTCTCAAGCTGTGTGGAAAGACTGAAGTAGTATGGGAGATTGTAAGTGGGTGGACCGGACAGGGACATGCATGGAACTATCTGCAATTTCAGCCATTCCTTACAGTTGCACAGGGAGACTCAGAAGGTGCAAGTCATCCATACTGCGCAATACAAACTGTTGAAATACTAGCAGTGAAGTACCTTGGCTCAGGTCGTGCTCAGAATTAATTTTCTCTAATCCATATTTCTTCTTAGCGGCTAGTCCAGGACAAGAGGGCCACTTTAAAGAGGAGCCTGTTTTGAGTTATAGGAAAGCAAAGACATGTGTTTGACTAAAAGCACCATTTGCTCCTGTGAAACTCCAGGCTGGAAAGACTGTTTTGAAAAAGTGCAGTGTCTCTCCAGAAATAGCTCTGGAGTGTCTAGTTGATGGATATTGGGGTTTCCTACAGCACCCGCTGTGTGAGCTTAGTGCCCATCCTCCTGAACACACACTGGTACATGCTAGTACACAGGCATAGCAAATGGATAACGCACCTTTGCTAGGTGGATATGTGTCCAGCTGAACCTTGTCATGGGGGGGGGCCAGCTCCTCTGCATGGTGGGAAACCTGCTTTAGCAGGATTTAATGCATCACAACTTGAGGAATAATAAACCTTCACAAGCAACACAAAAGTGTTTAATTCCTAAAGGACAGGCCTAGTTGAGTCACTTTTGGCCAGGGGCAATTGGGGGCTTAATGCTGTGTATGTAGCAATCTGGGCAATCTGAGAGAGAGGAGTTTAAGGGTAATTGCTCAATTTTCTGTCCATGTCAACAGGGGAAATGGGCAGCAGTGACTGAGTTCTGTGTGGTATGGAAACAGCATGAGATGGGAGATGTGAGACCATCAGTGGAATTTAAAAAGTGCTATCTGCAGAGTGCTGCTTCCTTTTCTGTAGCAGCCAAGAGCTTCTCCCAAGTGCAGACTGTTCTTTGTCATGAGGTAGGAGGGAAGACAGAACAACCAAGTTCAGGTTGAAGGGCTTTCCCCTCCCTTTGCTCTTTTCTCCAGCAGGGCAGTAGAGTCTCTGCTTCGACTTTGCTTGGGTATTTCATTTGGCTTTACTCTGCTTGTGTGTCTTTTTCTGGCATGCAGCTACAAAGGGCTGTTTCCTGTTGGGATGAGAAATGCTGGCATTCCCCCCCCTCCCCCCCCCCCCCCCAATCAGCAAACAGCTTTGTCCTTTTGGCTAAAAGTTTCTTTGTTGTTCCTTTCTTGTCCACCAATTCTGCACTGCTGAGTTGTACTCTCCCAGATGCCTGTCTCCTACCTACATTGCCCTTGGATTTTTCTCCTCAGCACTCTATGGAGGCTTGTTAGCTAAGGTTGACATCTCTCTCCCAGCTATCCTTCCCCCATAGACTATTGCCCCATTTTCAGAAGTCCCTTCCCCCTTCCCTCTGTTACCTTTGGGATGCATAGCTCCCAGAACAGGGCTTTTCTTGGAGGATTGGGATGTGATGTGTGATTCTCTGTCTGCAGGAACAACGGCTTGTTATTTTAAAGCAGATAGTGTGTGTGAATGAGACAGCTGATTGAAATGAAAGCCTGACTGTGCTACACAGACAACCCAAACCTGACCTGCAGGTGAGGAAAGCTGCCAGGAGACAGTCACTAGATCTGTGCCCTCAAGGCAAAACCCCTTCCTGCCTGCTGGGAAGCCTCCTCAAGGAAGCAGAGCTGATGATTAGACCTCTCTATACAATGTCAAACCTCCAGAAGGACTTCTTACCCTTCTGGCATGTGCCAGCAGCTCCTTTGCGTTTGAACAGGATGGGAGTCCAGGCTCTGTGCACAACAGAGGAGGAAGTGGGCATATGCCATGGTCCCCACATCCTTCTGGGGAGTGATGTCTGTCTGTCAGGTGGGAGACAGCCCTCACAGGATATCCAGCAGCTGGAATTCACAGCCATAAAATATCAAACACCTCTTGAGCTGCATGCAAATATGCACCAATGATGAAATTGCGCCAAACAGAGCTGAGAATAGAGTGCAGTGTGGGTTATTGTTGGCTCTGTCATTCCTGATAAAGTTTGCCAGTTGCTTCCCTGGTGAGCTGCTGTTTTTACAGAACACACCAAGTGCTGGTGGTTTCCAGGGGCCATGAACTGCAAGGATACCTGCATTGGCTGAGCATGAGGGTAAGAGAGGGGGGAGTTTGCAGGAACAGTCAGGGACATGGCCAGTCGATACTTCATAGGCTCAGGAGGCAGTGGTGGAGTGATCTGGGGAGAGCTAAATGGACGAAAAGTTCTGAGCATCAGTGAAATGGACACGGAGTGAAAAACATGGTGTTTTGGAAGTGGTGTGAATGGGCTGAAAAGAGGGGCCTGGGGCAGAGAGTGACAGTGACTGCTGAGTTTCTGGGATTCGGCACTGTGACTTTGTGTGTGGCTCTGTCAGCACACTGTAGTCCTCCCCTTGGCTGCTCCCCTAACGCGCTACTCCGAGTCTCTGTGCAAAGTCAGTGAAGTGCAGACTCAGCCCAACCTGATAGTTTCCACAGAGCTGTTGGTCCAGGCCAGTTTGAACCCTTCCAGTGACTGCTGACATTGTGATCTAGAGCCTCTGGTGTTCAAGGAAAGCTCCCTCCTGACAGCCACAGTGGGCAGGGG